TTAGGGGTTTAGGGTTTAGGCCTATGCAAAGTTCTACGAGGCTATAGAGTGTAGAAGTTGCAGGGCTTAGCAACTTGCTCTAGAATTAGAAAGCCTCGGTTTGTGGAATTTAAGCCTGCAGCGGCCGCAATATAGGGCCTTGTTTATTCGACCAGGGCGTCGGGAGGTCTATTATCATAGCTTCTATTTGTAACATTGTTCCCAAAGGCTAGTTCGGCTGATTTTTGTCAGGCTTCTGAAGTATATTATGTTACTTGGATAAACAAAAGATGTATAAAATTGAATAGTTTTGCGGTCGCAAGAATGCAAAACCGCCGTAATTATTGTAGTCAGTAGTTGCAGGTTGGAGCTGCTGAACGTGGTGATTCTCGTAGCACAGGTACTGATCCCTTTTCGATCAACGCGCGTCAGTATGTCGTAAAATTATGTGTCGGAGTTCTTCATGTGTTCACGATGGTCGTTTCGCAGGCTACTAGCTGGCTGTAACGCCGCTGAGAGAGGAAGCCGCGACTGCAGCTCAAGGAATCGGACAGGCACGACATCAACCAGACCGGCCGAAAAGCCTGAACAACACCTATATTCCAACACATATCCTTATTTAGGGCTCGAACTGCAAGTTTGCGAAGGTCTATAACAAGCAGAAAGCACATAAGTATAGAACCTGATAAGTCTAAAGTTATAACAGTAGAGAAACTGTAGAATTAAATCAATAAACCAGTTTAATGAACACAAATTTAAAAACTGCATACATGCATGGATGGATGGATAGATGGATGGGTTATGACAGTTATGACTATAAATAAACAAATATATATATATATATATATATATATATATATACATATACATATGCATGTGGGGCTCTGGAGGCTTCAAAGTGTTGGGATACTTCTACGGGGCCTGGGAAACCCAAGTGCCACGCGGGACCCATCCCAGGCGGAAAGCTGGGCCTCGACTTTTCGTAGGTTTTGGGTTTCGAAGTCCAAGGCTTTTTTGGGGCTCAGGGGGGTTTGGCGGTTTAGGGGTTTAGGCTTTAGAGGTTAGGGGTTTAGGGTTCAGGGTTTAGGGTTTAGGGTTTAGGGTTTAGGGGTTTGCGGTTTGGGGTTTAGTGCGGGGTTCAGGCTTTGTGTTAAAGTTAGGCGTAGGGCTGATGGATGCTGATAGCATTCATGTCAACGGTGTATGGCCAGACGTCTACAAGTTATAAGGTTTCCTGTGTATGGGATGTGTGCGTGGCCGAGATCGGAGAGCAAAGGGGCTGCATCGCTCTTCGGCTCGACAAACACGGTGGTACTTTACGTTGGGTGTTGTTACTTCGATTCTAGGGTTTAGCAAGGCGTTCGTCCAGGGTCTTATTCATGTAGGGCTTGGGCGCATATATGCGGTACCCAAGACCTGTAAACCCAGAAAAATAAACCATCAACAAAACAAGCCCGACAAGCCCTGAGCTCTCCAGAACAAAGCCCCACACATAACGTCAGAAACACAGAATGCCACACCAGGAACCCTGCAAAACTCTGAACAGCTACACCAAGCATCCCATAAACTTTACTCATGAGGAGCCTGAGGAAGGCCTCCAACACTGGGCCAGCAGGACCCTTCCTGGTAGGAATACCCGAAACTGGGTTCTTGGCTAGGAGCACAGTTTACGTTACCATAACACCTAACCATGTTTACTGGAAAATAACTTAAACTAAATTTACGTAACAAGAACCCAGTATATCCTAAACCTAAACCTCATAGGAAACGGGGTTCTGAAAAAGGGAAGTACGGCGTTAAGTCGATCGCTCTTTCTGGAAACTTGGGAAGCCTTGGCGGGACAACCCCGATGCCCGAAGTCCCCTGAAAGACCCAGGAGTGGCCTTGCAAATCTCAGGCCCGAGCGGAGGCATTCCCATGAGAGGCGGCATCCTGGAGCGGCTGTCCGGATCATTCCGTGTTTGGCCCCTTGCACATTGTCGGTTTAGGGTTTAGGGTTTAGTGTTGAGGGTTTGGCTCCTATTTACTGCTGCTCTCGCCAACCATTCCGCCGAAGTATGGCTATTATCGGTTACTGCTACTGTGACTGCTGTTGCTCTTGCTGTTCGTACTACCACTACTACTGCCACTGCTGCTGCTGCTGCTGCTGCTGCTGCTGCTGCTGCTGCTGCTGCTGCTGCTGCTATTTTTGTTGCTTAGTTCGCTCTTTTCCCTATGAATGTTGAAATCGCCAGTCGCCAGCAATAGTAATTGTTACTGCTACTCCCGTTCAAGTTTTTGCGCTGCCCAACATATTCTTAGGCCACCGCTCTAGTCTTATGGTATGTTTCCAACTTACAACCGCAGAAGTACATGTGGCTGTGACTACGATCACTGCCAGCGCTATTCGCCTGGTCGCTGTTGTTGTCGGGTGGAGGTGCTGTGGCCGTAGTCTTTCAAAGTGCTAGGGACCTGCTAACTGTGGGCCCTAGCCCCCAAAGACCATGTCACCTATCATGGCCATCGCCTGGCTGCCTAGCCCGACACCAGTGTTTGGGGCATGATGTGGCTTCAGATAGAAACCTGGAGCTTGCTGCGTCTATGCCGCCAGATGCCTTCACTCCGCATCTACTGCTGCATGAACTAGAAGCTCCTGCTCATCGTGGTCGAGGGTCCAACCCACGTCCAACTTTGATCCAAAAACCAAACCTACAACCTGTACCCTAACCCTGCAAGCACCTACTATAGAGGGTACTAGGGGCTATA